GGAGTTGAAAAGCGCGCATTTAATTTAATTATATAAATAGGTCACTTGTAGATTAGAATTCAGTCTTAATTGAACAATTACCGTATTAAGGGCGGTAGTAGTAGCACGAAGCTAATCTGGTAACATCCCCGGTCGGAACAACACCCCTACGCGAAAGATTAATTGCTCTCCCAAACCCCAGACCATCCGACCATAGCACAACATAAGAATTTCTGATTCGTTTGTTTCTTTCATTAACGTTAAATTAATCGTTTAAAATTTTTGAATAAGATATAATTTGATATTTTTATAATTAATTCTTTGCAATCAAAAACTTTCAATTATAATTTAACTGTTGGTAATAATAAATTTCGATAATATGAGATCTTTATTGAAGGTAATAATAAATTTCACTAAAGTGTTGAATTATTTCTTGTGTAATTTCGATTTGTCCTCCGGGTTTGTCTTAGTCCAATGTTTGTACACATCACATCCTTTTTCATCTGGCGCATAATATATATTGAACAATTTCGATAATTTTTCCATCCATTCCATACATTAGTTATTCTATTATCTGGTAATGGAAGATTATGTTTCATGCAAACATGTAGACACGGGACATGTCCCTGGGCGGTACCTTTTCCGAAATTTTGTGTCGATTATTCCGATCTTTTCGTTTGCGACGAAATAGACGTTTTTTTTTTAAAAGAATCTCATAATAATAACAAAGTTTTACCCGGCAAGTAATAATAGTAGCGCTAATGCATGACGTCTTGGGAGAGCGTTTTGACGAATATTACGATTTTTGCGGAGTTGGAAAGAACTTTTTTTCACAGCTAACAGTTTACGCTATTACTATTTTGTTTATTACAGCAACCGTTTTTGAGAGATGACGGTTGGAAGATTCTGCACGTATATATAAATATATGTGGGGGGGGGTAACTGTTGGCGTGTTTCTAACATTTATTCATTTCCTTCATAGTAATAGGATACTTATGTAAGCGCGAACCTTGTTTTATCATTATTTGTAATTAGATTATGATTATTTACTATCGCTATTACTACTACTATTACTATTAAAAGTGTGTTGATTCTTTAGAAAGCGTGAATGGAGGGGGAAGGGTGGTGTCGTTTGGGTTGAACGCCAATATATGATTGATGACTTTTTGTCACTAATCTCGTTGATAGAAGAAGTATGGCACACTTTGTTGTTGCTAACAATAAGCTTTGGCGGCTAAACAGTTACGTGGAATGTGGGAGGGACTATGGTGTTGGGACTTGGTATTCAGATGTGAAGCTATGCATGTGTGGTCGAAGCGATTTGGTACCCACCATTTTTTACTAATATCAATATATCATATAATCACTTTTACAATTGTAACTATGATATATTTCTACCACTAGTGTTATGAATTCATTCATAGATCTAAATTATCATTCGGTGAAAAGAATTCAGGACTCTCAATTGATAGAACATTGCGATTGTATAGGTAGCCAAATACACAGTGAAAGTCGATATAATAATAACGGACAGTGCACAAAATTCGTTATATCGTGACACTCCGTTATAATTCCGTTATATTGAACAATGTCTCGTTAAGCTCCGTTTATCGAAAAAAATCCGTTCTAAGCGAAATCCGTTATATCAACGAACCGTTATATCGACTTTAATCTGATTTTTCATCGACATGCACTTTATTAATTAATATTATATTTATTACTTATACAGACGACAGTCAACCTCTACACTACCATTCTAATAATCCGCATATGTATGTTTCAAAGGAAATTAGACAAATATGACATATTTCAGTTAATTATCAAATCGGTAGTTGTTCCTTTATGAAGAGAAAGTTGTTGATGCTATGGTTAAGTTCTCCAGCCTTGTTGCTATGTCTTCATTATCATCAACAGGCAAAGATATACTTTTTTCCAACACCTTTATCACTTCACATGCAACTTCCTCAACAAAGGTCTTCACTTGAAGAGCCTTCTTCAGAAAATCTTCAACTACCTGTCGATCGACTGGCCTTAATGGTATGTCAATATCTAGTATCTTGTAAGCTTTAAAGAACTTACCATTAAAGGTGTCTATAACTGAAAATGTCAAATTTGTCTTTTTGTTCAAGATTGCAATACTTGGTATATTATTTAATGATCTTATTAATATAATTGCCTCATTACAATCTGTTTTTTTTCCTTCAAAACATATGTCACGGAGCATATCAGAGCCATCTTTACATGCGCGCACTGACTTTCTCCAATCGTCACGATGCTTCGGGTGACCCATCCCCAGTGATGCAAACTCGCAGAAAGCAAGTTCCACATCAGCACCCTGAAAATCTACACGGATGCATAAGTCGGGCTTGTTTGGAGATGCCGCTGCCCCCGTCCGATGCTTAGACGATTCACTTATATGCTCCCCCCTGTAGTGTAACAATAGAATTGCGTACGTTAGTGTGCCTGTCATAAAATGGCTAAGAAGAATAATAGTAAGGCCATGAAAAAACAACATATATTACCATACTTGCTCAAGCGGCATTGAGCAATAACCAAAGATTGGTTTGAGGATTCTTGACACAGCTTCTACCACAAGGGCATTTTCACTGTAATTTGTCTCATCCAACCTTGGTGTGCACGTCCAGATATTCCGGCTAAAATCGTTCAATGGTTAGTTTATTATTAGTATTAATGTTGCTATTACTATTACTATTACTATAACAAATCAGATACAGCCAATAGCTTGATACTTACAACCCCTCTAATACACTCCACATCATCCCCATATTTCTCTTGAGCTGACGATCTTTTATGCCCGCTGGGTAACCAATTCCGTCCATATCTGATAGACTAAAATCAGTTCCCAAATGCTTGTATGTCTCTTCAAATTCGTCAAGCATTTTTTGGGCCGCCGGCGGCAGATCAACTTCTTTTAAAAAGTTGCTGACAGTTAGCAACTCTACAACGTCCGCTGGCAACAGATTCATATAAGTGTCACCCAACTTTGTCAAGTCTAGCACCCCAGATGCTAGTGGATCAGTTGGGTTAACGCCGTCTATATCGATTTCCTCGAGAATTGTGCACACAGCGTTATACACTTTTTTTTCTTCTTCTGTGCACTTGCCCATTTTTTTCTAGAATATTTATTATTATCATCATCATTAGTACAATTTATTGGATATAATGAAAATCAAAAAACTGTCAGTTAACATTTACATACACATCGATGGACAATATTCTCTATGTTCTCCTTTATCAACACCTTGTTCCGCACCTGTTCGTTTTGTAGGCGCTAAAATATAAATAGGGTTATACTTCAGTCATATTGTAGCAATAACAATATAATAAATGCAACTGATATCTTATACTTGATTGAAGCCTCACCTCTCTCTTTTCTTCCATATAAATCTCTGTAAATATATTTTTCTAAAATAGCAATATTATTAAATTGGTTATTAAAATATTATACAATAATAAGTGTTTTCAAAATGTGTCATCCAAAATCAGAACAGCGACAAATCAAATCAGAGTCATTTGTATCTATATCTTATTATGAGCTCCATGCCACTGACTACCGACGGGGTACTCTAGGCATAGCCCGTAGCAGCTTGACGCAAGAACACCTCAGGATGCCAAGCGCATGACGATGGAACTGACGTTTTCAGTCCTACATTAACACGTACAACTTACTAAATTAATCATGTCTCAGAACGTGTCGAGAAGAAGTCTTGAAAGCGAAATATGATTTTAGAATTGGTAGAAATCGAAAGCCATATTCGTGACAAAAACGTACATTAATTAATCTCATTGTCGTTTTTGTAACAATGTTTATATTGTTATAAATTATTTTCATTTATAGAATGGCGAGTTCCGTCGAAAAGGGGAAGCAGTTTGAAGAGGCGATAAGGGCACTTTTACGGGGAGAAGGTTATACCCCCTTCGAAAGGTGAGGGAGGATTCTTTCACTGAGTATTTGTTGAGTGGTTATGTATCCGAAGTTACGCTGCCACTAGGTGTAAATCGGAGAATTGAAAGCGCATCTGGCCATAGCTTGCAAGTTATCATTTATACTCATTTAGTCAACTTTGTAACTTGGTCTGTATTAGAATACACTTAAACAGCAATATATGAAAACATTTGTCAATGATAAATATCCATCCGAACTGAGAATCTGGAGTTACGCTGCCACTAGGTGTAAATCGGGGTTTTCGAAAGCATACATGGTGTAAATAAATCGAAGCTTCGTTACCGAAAAAGTCGGCTGTAGACTTGAACTCGGAATAGGATACATGTAGATTTCTGATACGGATAGTTATGAACATTCTTCTCCGTTACCGAGATACATGGCGATAAGAAGTGAAGGTGTGGGAAGATTAGATTGATGCGTTGTAAAACGAGCATATGAGCTTAGAAGGCAATGAGGCCAATAAATCGAGATATGATATTATCCTCACTAAGAAAAAAAATCTTATTGAGGAAATAAGAAAATATCAATCTTGAAGAAAGGAAGTCATTTCACGGGGGGAGAGATTTCACAAATAAAAATGTACTGTCGGGACCGCAGAAATTTATGCATTTAGAGGAGTTATGCATTTAGAGGATAGTCACATGATATGGAGCAAAA